GCCCCTGTTGCCGTACGAGCATCCGGTATAACCTTCGCGAATAGACATCGCGAGTCAGGAGTTTCCAGACGTCGCACACGTGCGGACCAGACGTGTGTGGTACGGGTAGAGGGGATGTCTAGCGTTGTCCCACTCTGCGCTTGATCTCGTCTCTGTTCTTTTTAACTTTGTCTTGACAGGTGGTGGAGTGAGGGGAGCCTGCGGTAACTAATGCTCTAGTCTACGTATTCACATGCATTTTACTGTCTCTGTGTCAACGCTTACTGTGGTATACACCTCAAAGTCAGTAGGCTGTCACGCTGAAGCTGTTCTATTCTCCCCCTTTCTCCCACTCACAGCTATCTCTTCTGCCGGAGCAAGTCGAAAGCCCGTTGATCTTTGCTCTGCCGGACAAAAGTCGTCTTGCTCTGCTCGACTTTCCCTTTAACCTCCCCTTCGAGCTGTTGGGTGTCGAAAAGTGTCTACAGGTCATCCTCGCGGTTATTCTTGAACAGAAGGTACTGTTTACACTGCAATCATACCGTTTTAACGCATTTTTACATTCTAGTAGCCCACAGGTTTACTTGTGTTTGGGGTTTTTTCTTTTAAGGTTTTGCTCAAGTCGAGGGATTACAACGCCCTAACCATGTCTGTTCTTGCCTTGGTTGCGATGCTCTATCCACTGCAGTATATGTTTCCAGTCATTCCGCTCCTGCCAACCTCGCTTCCGGGTGCCGAGCAAGTATGTTCAAGCTTTGATTTTACATGCCTCGTATTCAACTATGTGCCACACATATTAACGCATGTTTTTTTGCGTCGATACATTAATGACGCTTCTGATTTCAAGCCTTCTGTTTGTCTCCTTTTCAATTACTTTGTTCGGATTTCTTTGGGTCTGAAGCCGTATCGCAACCTCACCTGCGCCCGAACACCGGCTCTGGTATTTTTGGCTATGCCATGATAACGGGCGCAGGTGGGGGGAGCAATAGTGTGGTAGATACAGCACCAGTTTACTATCAGTTAAAACTAACTCCCGTGTAAGTCACCACGTTTGCAGTATGTCTGCTGAAATATGCCGTAAACATATTCGAACTATCATATAAACCTTTCCATATTCAATTTATCTTAAATAAGAAGGACAAAATAGAGAAAATAGCTGCTGACTTTCGTAAAAAGTGTATACGATGCTTGCCAAATTTTGGCAGTCTGCATTCTTATCGTCTTACCTAACAGGATGTGTAAGTTTAAACCACTTAAAACTCAGGAGTGAAAGCAATTTCCGGTCAGGGAGTAATTCATTGCCTTTTCTGATGCACTGCTACTCACTTAGCACTATGAAAATGAGTTCTGTCCTCTTTCGTTTGACGCCTCCGCTTCGGATCTTATTTTTATTAACTTTGTTTGGCTGCGTGCTTGAGGTTTTATGCCGTCTTCAGAAGTCAAGGCATTTCTTCACACTGAGTAAACAGTATTTTAGAAAACACAATATAACCGCGCATTAATTGTTCGATGAAGCCAACAGGGGATTATCGCAGAATCTCTGCTTCCAGGAAAGGAGGGAATTTAAAATTAGTTCAGACTGGAAGACGATTTGAACCTACCTGCCTGCCTCATCTTCAGCAGAAAAGTGAGAAAGGGCCGTGTGCATGCCAAAAATTGCTGCTCTGTTCAGATTAATTGATACTTACAAGCCCGCCAGTTTCTTGTCGTGTTTGACCCCCACAGCAGATTAGTCAATCACTAGGCAAACAACTTGGTCAGCTTAACACGAAAGCTCATTTTGGAGAGACAAACTCTTTTTTGTCAGCTAATTTCTAGAGAGCTGTTTCATTAAACCTAACCGTTGGCTAACCTGTTTTCTAAAAAGAAGCGTACATCGTGGAGGCCCATTTACTGGGTCAACACCCCCACTACAACTCGAGCAGGCCTTAAGAAGGAGAACATGGTTACGGAAATCGTGCTGATGACTATGCTACGGAAGAGAAGGAGGAGGAGGAGTGAGAGAACTAGATCAACATCTCTGTCTCTCGCTCAATCGTCGAGGAGGGACAACTGGCTGCGATAACTCACCCTCTTGTCGCGCAGTGTTGCCGTGGCCGTCGATTGCAATGCCGCGCCAGTATCGGTGCTTAGGGTACTGTCCTAAACGGTTTACCGTATTCGATTAATTCATCATCAGGCAATACAATAATATAAGGGAGCGTAGAGTTAACAAAAGTTTAAGCAACCAATCAGTAATAATTAGGGACATAAGGGGGGAGATGTAAAGGGATCAAAGGGGTCAAATTCTAGTCTCAATTTGGGGTCCACAGAGGAGAAATGGTGGGGCAGGAGAAGGGGTCCGACAATTATTCGTGTAGCCCGCGTCCTTGGCTTGCATTTTGTTGGGAGATGTGAGAACGCAAGGTGTCATCTTCTCGTGACGGCGTGAGTGGCCTGGGGATGCTTGCTGTCGGGACATCGTCACTGTTTTGCGGCGTGGTAAGACGCCTGGGGGCGGATGTTGAGTTAGCCTTCGGCCAGCGGGCTATCTCAACCGTACACTCTGCAGAAAATATAAATTAATCGAAAATAGCCGACAGTTTTCATCCAGGATGGGTGCCGACCTTAACCCGTGACGATAGTGTAACCAAGTGATGACTGTAGCACTTTAATCACTAGTCCCGCTGTGTTCGAAAGGGTCCAACAAGTCTACTGGCGCCCATGAGTGCTTGTGTGCATCGGCGGTGAGGCAGTTTGTAGTATTGTTTCTGACAGAAAACAGTCAACCTGAGGGCCTATGAAGTCGCTGACATGAAACGCATGCTGGACATCATTTGCACGGCAGTAGCTAACAATTCTTTGTAAAATAATGGAATTCCAGTTAACATACTTACAGGGGTCTAGTGTTTTGGCAATGAAAGGAACCCAGTGTCCGTTCCGTAACCGTTATTATACCCTCTATTTGCCGCATTTTATCAAACGGGAAAGATTTCGTAGTACATGAGGGACGTCTGCCCCAAAATTCTCCCCCATGTTTTTTTCCATGTGACGCAGGAGAACTTTAAATGAAAGTGGACGAAAATCCGGGGTTTTGGCTCCCGCAGATTTACATTAACTTTAGTCAGCAATGTCATGATGGGCACAAAGGTAGTAGGCAATTTCGTGGATCAATTTTGTATCAGCTGACAAATCCAGTTTTATGAGACTATGTTACTGAGGATATTTACTGGGTGGGTACATTTTTTACCTTCGATAATATGCTCTTATTAAAAACAACATTTACAGCGAATCTAAACACGGGTTCTTGCCTGTTGGTACAAATGAGACGACTGTGATTTAGTTGATCCAATTGTGAAAAACTCGGTGGCCTCAGTAGGATTCGAACTAACTTCAGCCGGGAAGGTTTTGGTACAACCAAAGCCCTTCCAATTGAGCTACGAAGGCACGACGACGTCAAGCTGGGGAACCAGACTCAAAAATGCACGCAACAAAAAATTTTTTCCAAAGGACTTTATTGTCAACCTTCCCTGCTGATGTGAGTTCGAATCCCACCGAGGCCATTAATTTTTCACAATTGGGTCAACTGAATTATTCGAATGTGCCAACTCCTCCTAATAATAGAGCTGTTATTTTTGGAACATGAAGCGTATTTGCTTGCTGGACGTTTCCAACTTTTACTCGAAACGCAAAATCCCGCCACTACTCAAGGTCGATGATAAAAGTGCGATAATTGACGCCCCTGATTCGCGTGAGCGAATGCCCATCATACTAGGTAACAGTACGGCCGTCGATTTTGACGACGCTAACAATAGGACAAGCGTCGGAATGGTGAGTTACAGACGAATTAGTTTAGAGTAATAGTGGACATGCGCTGCATTTATTGCACCATATTATCTTCATCCATCTTAGCCCATTGTCATGACTGACTCAGGAAGGGCCGGAACAGGATCAGATAATTGTGACTTGCACCGCCTGAGTCCGTGCCTAGGCATGTCCGCGCAGAAAGTACCACGGTTTAACACAACAAGACAGGGCTGCGGCTCGAATCTCATAAAGTGGCCATATTAAGAAGCTACTTTACCAGTCAGATACTGCAAACACTGGACTGACTGTGAGGTCTGAGGGATTCCTTCAGTTGGCAAGCCTGAAAACCAATACTTTAACGGCACCGCTATAGAATAAGCGGCGTCAGATTGTTTATAGCGACGAGGGTACCTCATTATCTTTATTCTCCTATGCACCAACCGATGATCCGAGACCTTGCACTAGGTAAAACCTTAGATGGTATATGTGGGAGTTGCCAATTATCATAGGTATGTCAGTGCCAGACAACTGCGTCGTATAAATACTGCATCGGCGCGCCTCAATCATCCATTTCTTTCGCTGTTTCTAACGATGCTTTTGGGTGAGGGTCCGAAACGTCATGCGAATCAAAGTCTAGTTCCAGCGACTTCATCTCTCTCTCTCTTCTTGCCTTTGTTTTTTCTGTAAAGTTAAGGAGTCATACTGCCGTCAGCGTCTAAAAATAATACCGAAATAATTTTTGTCCAAACCGAAACTTAGTGTACTAACATGGCAGACATCTCAGTTCACGTTATGTACAAAAACTTGCTGAAATCTGAACTCCCTGCACAAAATATTTTTTCCCGGCCCTATCATTTTCACCTTACCAACCCGATGTCCACGTTACCAGCCTGCACTCAAACGAAAAATCCAACTCCTGTGAACGACAGAGACATTACCCCAAACCGGATTCTAGTTTGGGAGTCTGTATTTTTTAACTGAAACCCAACTTTCTAAGTTAAGAAGACCTCAGATTGGGCAACAGCCTACGCCGCTTTTGTTAGTATGCGGTTTTTTCCTCTGCTGAAGGCTCCTTTGGTTTGTGGAATCAGTGACCGTTGGACCATGTCGCCGAATTCTCCAGAGTACCATAAACATACTTAGCGTCTTCAGGCCTTGAGGACTGGAGGTTGTAACTTACTAGACTGTCATTTCACTCTGCCCTTCTCAACGATATGCTTGGTTAGCTGCGTTCCCCAGAGATACTTAGGATGGCCTATCTAGAACCTGTGTTAGAATTGTGCAGTCAACTACACTAACGTGGTAGAGCCCGCAAAATGCTTATTACACACAGAGGGTTAGGCGCTTTTAGTGGCCGACGTTACCAAATATGCTGCGTATTATCGTCGAAATAAGTATGTGCATTGTGCAAATGATGGTTATAAAGGGGCATTGGGGGACGCAATCAACTGAATAACGTTTGTGTAGGTAGGTGATTAGACTTTAGGCCTAATGAGGCTGTGCCGAGTATTCTGCCCCTGATCTATCGCTGTCTTGCTGTGTTCGTTTGAACTAACAAATATGCTATTCTGTCTGACTGTATGATCTAAATAGAGATTTAGTTTTGGTTCACGACAGTTAGTATTTATGTGGCACATTCCACTGATAATTATCCACAGAACTGCCATATAATTAAGCCACTTACAAAAATCCACGGCATTATAATTGCTACTTATTTGCATTGGTTAGAAGTTGGCTTTTAATTATCGACCCGGTAGATGCTACGTGCGGCAGTATCTTAAACATTTATTCCCCTATCCTGTAAAGGGGTAATCGATGTTTTCCCCTGTACCTTGAAAGTGCTGCATTTAAACCTAGGCTCACATTTCTTTCTCGCCTGGTAGTAGTGTAGGTCGTCGTACCTTTATACGGCAAAATAAGAGGCATTTATTTCTTGTGCTTTTGAAAACTATCCATTCATTATGCTATGCGATTATACGGACAACTTTTAGCAAGTAAACGATGCAGGGCTATGCGTAAAGTAGATGCGCTATCTCATTGAATGTTAGCCGAAATTGGGAACTTTCTCGTATATTAGAAAAGATAAATAAATTAAGGCCGTAATATTAAGGCCGTAAGGTCTTAACAATCACACAATGAGAACCTTTTTCTAAAACGATTGATGCGCTTCCTTGCGCCATACATTAAAGGAGGACGTAGGTGGCTACTGAGTGAGTGCCAAAAAGAATACTTCATACATTTTTATAACCATATAATTGAAGCTATAAGGGGGAATTGAAATTAAGGGTCAAAGGCGTGCTTTTTCAGGAGGCATTTTTTCGGAGTGTAATCCATCAACACAGTTGGGAAGGAGCTTTTTCAGAAGTGGGCATCCTAACGTGACTGAGCTTTCTTGGAATGATACTGCAAAATAATAAATAGTTTAGAAATGTGCGCTTTTTATGCGATGACATTACTAGTTAGTTGGTTCTGCTGATGCCGCTCTCGTGAGCATTGCAAACAGCAGTTAAGAATGATGTTGAAGCTGTCTGTAGGATGCTGCCGCGTTCGGTGTGGTCTGAGCTTTGATTTGAGGTATAGGAGAGTAGTTACATTTAAACCTTACCTAATATTACGATATTTATAGACTATTGCAAACAACATCTTTGCTAGTCCCGAAGATTCAAAACATAGCCGGAGACCGAAAATGCCTCAATCTGTACTGCCCCAACTACTGTGCCTGATGCCTCATTTAAATCTTCAACAGGAAGATGATTTACTCCTTACACTTCTCCGTTTAACGTCATTTTTGATTATGCTGATATTTGATACACTTTACGAGTTGACGTTTTGTTGACAAATGAAACCCGTCTAGAAATCGAAACGCGAAAAATCGAATTCCCAAGCAGTGTTCATTGAGTATAGCTATAGGTAAGAACCGCTCTGAATTAATCCATGGCATATTGACTTCCGCTAGTCCCTATTACCTCCCTATTGCTGCAACTCAGTAGTATACCTCTTATATTGTAGACAACATTGGACGCGATTCCTATCGGGCAAGGAAAAGTCGTTCTAAACATAAAATTGGATATGCTTCTCGGTCAACCTCTTAATTTCAATAAGTTGAAAGTTATTTATCATGCTGTTGCCTCGGCTTGCTACCATTGCCTGCATAAGCTTAACAACTGAAAACCGCTCATTTTCCCATTTAGTGTTCCGACTATGGCCTCCAAATCTTTAAACATACAGTACTATCTGTGCTCCTCTACTTATTGCCCAAAGCTCTTGCCACACCAAACTCACCGTTTGCACTCTGTTCACCCCCACTGGGTAGACAAGGACATTATGCAAAATTAACTTAGATTAAGTGCATTTTATATGACTATCTGGGCAGGAAACCCAGCAGGTTTGCGACCGTCAATTTCGGAAGGACAGTTTGTGGAAGAGAGTGCATCTTCATTTGCATATTATCTGACAATCATAGTTAGATAATGATATGGCAGGCTACGAGACTTGAAACGTCCGCCCTCCGACTCCACGTGATACAGGTGACCTTAAGTCAATTCACAGGACTTCTAGAATATTAATTTTTTGTAGTGAGACAGTTGCGACGTCTGCGCGCAAACGATCTGTCCATCTAGTCTGATTGGCATCTGTCCCGTTTATCCTAAGTTTATCCTAAGTACCTCTGCTTATTTGTCGGTAACCGAAAAGCCCACAAAGAAGACCTCCGCGGCGTTCCTTTGATGGA